TATAATACACAAAAGTAGATTGTTTCGTATCCAGAATCTTACTAGTTTTATTAAACATTTTATTTTATTGAATAATAAATTTAATGAATATATTATGTTTTTTAGTTTTTAAAAATAAAGGAATTTTTTTAATTGTTTTAAGGATTTTTATAGTTTTTGGGAAATGTTACACTAAAAATCGTAATCTTAATGTTTATTTCAAATTTTTTTCAAGAAATTTCTGGAAAATTATTTTTTATAAATTATGAACCCCTAAAATATTAAGGTAGGTTTTTATATTTTTGTCATGGTTTTACTATAGTAATGCATAAATGGCAAAACAATATACAAATAAAATGTAAATATTAAAATTTTAAATCGGATTTATCGAACGCCAAATCAGAGATGATATCAGGACGCGGGCGCTGGTTGTAGGACAGAGTAAAATATAAAATAATAAACCTTTTTAAATAATTTAATTTTGTTTTAAATCGAAAAAAAAATGTTTTAGACTTTTGCAATACTAATTATTTATTAAGTATTTTCGCGGGGTTTTTTTTTTGTTTAGGTTAAGTCATCAATATCCGATGTTTATATAATTTCTGTTATTTTATGAATACAAATCAGTAACCATATTTTTTCTTCTTATTTGGTGCCATATGTTAGGCCCGCTGTCGCTTCCATAGCTATCTCTTCTCCRTTCAGTGCTTCCAGTATCCCAGGTCTTTTTTAACTCAATCATCATCCCATCATGCTCTTGGCCTTACCCATCATTGGCTTTTATTAGGTTTCTATTTTGTGACTGTCTGTTTAATTTGACTTTTGTCCTCCTATTATGTCTGGTCCCTGGTCTTTGAGTGTGAACACATTAACGGTATAGCTGAATATAGTGCAACRTTGTTTGTTTGGTCATTTTTCGTAACCACCTTTTTTGTTTTTCTTTAGTCTTAATATTCTAAAAAAGATTTTTCTCTCATAAATCATCTATTTATTCTCATTTGTCTTGGTTAGACACATCAGTATAGTACWATAATCRGCAATCGATCTAATCTAATCGAAGGGCTTATTTRTACAATCTTATTTTTGTTTTCTTCTCGATAGTTTATTTWTTTTTTTKTTTTAGTGATCATTTTTATCTTTTGTATCAAATTTAAATCGAAATGTATCATGACCAGTTATACTATCATATTATCATAATAATACTATTTATTCGATTCTCAATAGGCAGTGATAAGCAATAAGTCCCATACGTTTTTTATTTTTTCTTAGATGCGAATTTCTGGAGACATGTAAGTTGTATGAACCTATTGGTTGTTTTTACTAAATCTTGAGATTATATTGCGTATAATAAATAATAATATATAATATTAYGTAGTATTTTCTTACCATTGATAATAACATGTCGAAAAATTCTATTAATATGTACCCAGGATATGGTAATTTTCTTTTGCTGCTCGTCAGACCGAGCGAAATCACTGCAGTAGGTATCGTTTTATTGTCGACGGACGACAAGATGGGCGTTCCCTTGGAGTTTTGTATCACCATCCATATCCACCATATAGCCACTTCAGGGCAAATACATATTTATTTTTTTACATATATACTATAATCCCTAATAATCATGGGGAAAAAAATATCCGAAAAACGTTCTTCTTTGATTTAATTTCACATAGCTATAAATCATTATTTCCCTTTTTCTTCTATATAGTTCGACCGACTTCGGACGATAGTGGCTAACTTCATCCCTTGCAAGATAATCACAGAAACATAACTGCAACGTATACCGTTTTTTTCGATTTGACAGAAGGCTATASCTCTTGAAAAGTTGGCCATCTTAAATCCATAAAAATTAAATTCACCCACATCCTCACAATTACTTGTACTAATTGTACTGTCTACTGGGTACTGTTCTCAGTTATATGATTCATATAACTTAATCATTTKTTCACATTAACACATATTTTTAGCTTAAAATTTCAGCACAAACCACCTGTTTTTAATAATTATAATGTAAATTTCCAAAATATATTCATAATTTAGTAAAAAATGACATAATCTCAAACAATACTGATATTATCAAATATTTAAATCAAACCTGAACAATCTGGACGATAATAATTCTCTAGCGCATACTCATTATAAACTGTTTCATATTTCGTCTATACTTATTGCCACTTTTAATGATTTTTAATGATTGGCATAAGCACATTGTTCGATTACCTATCTTATGAATAGTCATATCTTTGCATATGCAGTAGAGTTTATATCTAGTTACTCGTATATTCAAATCAGGTTTAATATAACTATAGGTGAATTCACTTCTGTTTTTAAACCACAAATATCTGTTTGTATACAACTTCAATAGAATACTCAATGTTAACCTTGTATTAGACAACTGCGATATCTAAGGACAGGCAACAAAATAYATTTGATCAATCGTGCTCATATAATTTCTAAATGCGTATACGATGTGGTCGACTAGATTTGTACGGGTTTGCGTGACTTTCCCTACCRTTTRATGGTCTGTCCCATTTGTCCCTGGATCTACAAAATTATCGTGTTCGCATTCCGGTGGTGTAGAGGTTTTGTGGTTTCAAAACTATCAACCACCCGGCACCCGCTGTTTTTGTGTATTTGATTATTATAATATGTATCCAATGTAATTACTTATACCTCACGTCCGCGTGATGGAACACCGTCGTCGTTATGATGATGGTGTGTTAYCTTCTGTACGATTATATTATTGTAATATGTATGTATAATAGACCAATACCTTGCACAGCTCATAGCCCATAATAATTGTCGCATGACGACAATGATTGCGAGGCAGTTATTTA